GAAATGATTTAATAAATTTGCTTAAAAAATTCTTTAGATAGTTAAAAATTTCAAGAAAAATTAAGTTTTTTCGCTAATATGGGATATAGAGTAATTGGTTTTGGATATAAGGAATTATAATAAAATATAAATTTAAAAACGTAAAAAGAGAAGATATTGAAAATAATTTAATTTTTTAGGTTTTTAATTTTAGAAAATAAACTAAAAGATGATAGTGCAGAAAATATATAAATATTAAAAAATGCAGAAATTAATTGTAAAATAATATCTGGAGATAATCTTTTGACAACTGTTAAATGTGCTAAAGATAGTAATATTTTAGATGCTAAAGATAATATTATAATATTAAATACAATAAAGGACGCTTATTATTTAAATAAACCTTATGAAAAAATTGATATTACTTAGCTATTAAATAGTAAGTAGATTGATTTTAAGTTAGGAGTTACTGGGACTGCACTTATAGATATTTAATAAATGAACGATTAACAATTAATTAAAAATATTCTTGAAAATACATTAGTATTTGCAAGATGTAAACCAGAATAGAAAACTGAAGTTATTTACTTGCATTAAACTTTATTTAATAAAAAAGTTGGAATGATAGGTGATGGATCTAATGATTGCTCAGCTATTAAATAAGCAGATATAGGCATATAATATATATATATATATATATATATATATATATATATATATATATATCACATATTTTTTTTTTAATTTATTATAGGAGTTTCATTTTATGAAACAGATGCGTCTTTTTCAGCACCTTTTTCATATTAGAAAAAATCAATAAATTGCATAACTATAATTTTAGCAGAAGGTAGATGTGTTATATCAAACATGATTGAATGTTATAGGTTATTAAATTAATATATATATATATATATTAAAAAATATTAATATAAATTTATAATATAATATTATTTATTTATTTAAATATATAATTATATATATATTTTTTTATATATATTTATTAATATTTATTATTATATATAGATACTATGTTACTATTAATGTTTATAAATTTGCTGTAGCCCTTATTTTACTTTATGAATATAGCAATTATTCTAATTTTTAATTAGTATATATAAATTATTTTATTGCTATTCCTTTATTGTCATTTGTTTCATTAAGTAAACCTTTAAAAGGATTAAGTAAAACTAGACCTAATTGCAATTTATTAAATAAAGAGAATGCTTTCCGTATGGGAAGCTAGTTTATATTAGGATCATGTGGTCTTTTCGCATGTTATTATCATTATATATATTAAGATTTTTATTAGGATATATAATCTTTAAAAAATGGGCATCTGTATAATGATTAAAATATTGCTATTAACATTATGTTTTTAGCAAGCAATATTTTTTTTTTAATTACTTCAATTACCTATTATGTTTCTTAGACTTTTAAATAAAGAATGTATAAAAATCGGATGTATTTTATATGGTTTCTAATATTATTAATATATTCAATTTTATTATATTTGTTTATTGATATTTTAGGCTTTAGTGCTTTCTAGATTGTAAAAGAATTGCATAATAAGAAAAAATTTTTAATTGAATAATTAGTTATTGTACTTATTTTTAATATTATAATTATAATTTGGGAAGAATGTGTAATTAAATATATTTTTTCCAATAAAATAAAAAAACTATGATTATGTAAATTACATATATTAATATTTATATTTTTTATTAATTTATATAAAATAAAGTTAACATATTTTTTTATTATATCAAAAAATAATACAATCTCCTTTTTCTTTTTTTTATTTATTTAAATGCTCTATTATTATTTGATATTTTAGTTATCATTATTATTAATTTTCTATTATTAAAATCCTTAGTTTTTTATTTAAAATTCCTATTATTATTACTATTAACCTCCGAAAATTTATTATTATTATAAAAAAACTTATTATTATTTAACAGTTTATTAATTATTAAAAGTTTATTTATTAATTGTATTATTTATTATTTATTTTTAATTATTATTTCCTTAATAAAAATTATTCTCGCAATCTATATCTTCCTAATCACTAAAGTCATCCGCTAAATTATTCATAGAATCCATTTTATCGATTTAATTATTTTCTTGATTTTCCTCCTAATAATTAATAGATAGAAATGTATTATTTTTATTACTCAAAGGAATTAGAATCCAATCATATACATAATCAAATTAATATCCTTCTTTTACAAATCTTTCCTTAAATATTTTTTTTAAATAAGTATAATCAGGCTTCTCCTCATATTATAAACTTTTACAATATTTCATATATACTTCGAATTCAGGAGCTAATCCACTACATAATTCTTCATAGGAAATATTATTTTTCATTTCTTTTATTTATTTAAAAAGTTCTTATGTTTGTACACATTGTATACCCTACCAAGGTAAATAGCCATTCAAAAAATAAATAAACATATATCCTAAACTTAACATATCATCTCTTCTTGAATATTCATATTTATTATGTATATAATTACTCATATATCTTATACAGCCTAATAAAAAATAAAAAAATATATTATTAAAAAAATATGGATATATATATATATATATATATATATATATATATATATATATATATACATATATATATTACCTATAAGATATTTATTATTAGAAAATTTATTATGTTCATTTGTTCGTGGATTTTTGTATTTCTTAGATAGCCCGAAATCTATTGTGAATATATGTCTTGATTTTTTACTTAAGCCTACGCAAAAATTCTATGGTTTAACATCTCTATATACATATGATTTAAAATGAATATGTTCCATATTTGAGATTAATTAATCGGCTATCATTAATACTGTTTTCAATGAAAATTTCCTACCACATATATTAAATAAATCTTCAAGATTATAACCTAATAATTCTATTACTAAAAAATTATATTCGCCTTCTTGTCCAAACCTATTTTATAATTTTAAATTATTCTATTTTATTTGGTTTTTTTTTTTTTTTTTAACCAATTTAAATATGGAACTCCAGTTCCTCCTTGTAAATTTTAGATTATGTTTCCCTCTTTTAAAAGCTTATTTTTTTAAATATTTTTTTGTTTATTTAGGTTTTTTAAATTACTAATTAATGCTTTGAGTTTTATTCTTCAATTTTTATTGCTACCTCGACATTTGTTTAAACATTTCTTGCCAAATATATAGAACTATATTAACCTATGGAAATTTTTTATCCTAATTTATATCTACCACATATTCTAACTTCAACAATACTCATATTTATTTTTTAAAAAAATATCAATTAAAATTTTATTTTATTATTATTAAAAAAAAAATATATATAAATGTATATATATATATAAATATAATTAATAATATTATTTAAGTATTTAAAGTTTTGAATATTAATATTAAAATTAAAATTAAAATAAAATTAAAAAATAATATATAATAATTTTAATATTATAATATTTGTAAAAAATATTTATAATAATTTAAAATAAATAATTATTAGTATTATAATCTATATTATAATTCTTAGATTTTATATTGCTTATTAAATTAAAGGAATAGTCAAATAATTAGTATTATTCATTTACAATAATTATTATTTAATTAAGTGGAATTTTTAACAAATTATATTATTCTGATTATATGTAATTATATTCAAAAATATTCTAATTATCGAACACTCTACTATTAAAATGACTTTAATATTCATCTTATTCTGAAAAAACTTTAACAATATTATTTTTTTTCCAAGTTTTTACATTTACACTCTCATTATTTATTATTTATTTAATTTTTATTATTAAATTAAAATATTTAAGAACTAATGACATTTTGATTTCTTTCTAAATTTGATATTAAAATAATTTCAAGTATTTCTTTATTAGATTCATTAATTTTGTATTCAAAGAAATAACATAGGGTATTACAACATTCTATATTGAAAAGTATAAATAAGAATATTTATGTTTTTTAGAATAAAATTATCATTAAATTAAATATTAAATTATTAAAAGTATTTAATATTATTTTATAAAACTTAAGTTTACTTTTTTATATTAAACAAAGATTAATAATTTTAATGAATATTTAGATTTGTTTTTATAATTTAAATTAAAAAGTTCATAAAAAATATAAATATAAATATATTTTAATTTTTATAAAACATATAAATTAAATTAATATAATAATTATTATACATATATATAAATATATATAAAAATTACAAAAATACATAATATATATCTATATTATATTGATTATTAAATAATTATTATAATAAAATTCTATATTCAATATTTTTTTATTTTCTTAATTTAAAAAAATAATTTTTAATTAATATAATCTTTTTTTTAGTAAATATATTTTTATTTATATATTATAAAATTATATTGTAAATCTATAAAAAAAAAAAATATATATATTTCTAGATTCTTTTAATAAATTAAAAAAACTAAATATAATTTTATATATAAAAGATTTAAATATAAAATAAAAAAATATACATATTTATAAATATTTTTAAAAAATAAAATGAATTTTTTATTATTATGAAATAAAAAATCTTTTATTATATATAATTTACATAGTTAAAGATTTTACAATATGTTTTTTAAATAAAACATATATCTTAAATAATAAGTATATAAAAAAAAAATTAACTATCATAAATTTATAAATACATTAAAATAAATGAATTATATTTTAATATTAAGGTAAGAATATATACAAATATTCTTAAATAAAATTTTATTTATAAAAAATATTATTTTTATAAAATATAAAAAAGAATATATTTTATTTATTTAAGATTTATTAAATAATAATATTAATAATAAAACATATATATATATATTTATAAATAATAT